CGGCGTCGCCGGCTCACAGAGCGCTATTTCACACCCTACTTTCCGCCCCTTAACTCGCTTCCTTCCGATCTTCTGTCTCTCCGAAGGCCAATGGAAGAAGCTGCCAGCAACCCGCCGCCTCTCCCAGCCTCCCGAAGGCGCCGGCCCGCGCGGCACCCGCAGACGCCGCGGGAACCCCCGAACGGGTGAGCACCAGCGACCGTCTCCCAGCGGCCTTTTCCTAATACGTAGCCTGCGACGTCTCTCCTTGTGACGGAGCCCGCAGCCCACAACGGACTTCTGTTTCGCAGCTGCTGCAGACAAGCGCATCCCTCGGCCTACTTCAACGCACGGCGCCAAGAATTGTTTCTTGAGCCGCTGCTAACGACAGATACGAAGGCTTCGGAAAAGGGGCCGCCGAGGCCCACCTTACCTGCTGACATTGCCATGGTGGTGCCGGCGACCATGCCCATGGCCACGCCGTTAGTCCGGGGCGCAGCGACGGGGGCCGGGTAGATCGCCGACGGGATGCTGTTGGGCTGCACCACGGTGGTGTGATGGATAACGTGGGGCTGCGCCGCGTACACGGGCTGGGTGTAATACGCTCCCTGGTTGAGAGGGGAGAAGACACCGGCGGCTTCGTCAGCGGATTGAAAGCAGAAGCCCCAGCCAAAACCGGGCCCCTGAAGGGCCTTTCAACAGCCCACGTGGCCCCCGAACCCACCCCACGCGCCGGGTGGGATGCGCCAAGGAGATCCTGCCATAGTGAGATCCCTGTTGCAGAGGTCCCCACACCCAGCCCTTCCGAAGAGCCCTGCAGCCTTCACTGACTAGGACACCCCCGCTGTGATGGCCACTCATGGAGACACACTTAAGCCCTCGAGGTCTCCAGCTCAACTCCAGAAGCACTGGTAAGATCCGCAGTTGCTGGTATTAACCATTGCAGATGGGAAACCATTCAAGTTCTGCAAAAACTAGCTAGTTTTTTTTTTTGGTCCTTCCTGCAGCCAGGAGCACGTCCTAGCGTCTGAAGACATGGAGCAGCACGGACGAGGCAGATCCCACCCGAAGCAGGTCAATAAGAGGCCTCCAGGTGTAGAAACATGGGAGGGATGAGGGCAACAGCAACTGGAAGGAGATCCACATCCCAGATGGGTGAACCAGCTCTTCGGGGACAAATCCCGCTGCCTCGGCTTGCAGGGATGAAATAGAGCCCAGGCTCCAAATGCTTTAGCTGCTAGCTTGCAAACTGAGCAAGAGTCTGAGCCCCAAGGGAGCTGCCCAGACGTGGAAAGCGGAGCTGGTCCGGGACAGACAAAAGGAAGCAGCATCTCCTTGGGTTTCCACAGGGAGACAGAAGGGCTCCGAAACGTAGGTGGCAAACACCCCAGGGATTTCGAAACGGCGGATGGGAATAAAAGAAAGGACCCAACAGAAAAGGCTCCATGGCCGAAATAATGAAATTTCTGAAATGTGAGCGGGGCTACGAGAGAAGTGCCGTCCACGGGACAGGCAGGGACAGTGCCGTAACAAGAGCAAACCAAGAAGGTCGGAAAGATTAGAGGGTTTAAAACAATGAAGGGAGATTTTATCGCAGGTTAGTGAAAGCCATTAGAGGATCTCTATGGATTAAGAGGAGAACGGGTTACAGCTGAATTATTCAGTTACGTCTTTCTTTCAGGAGCTGCAAAGGATGATCAGACAAATTCGACGTGCAGAAAGGGGTTTCCTCAGGCCGGGGAAGGACAGGCTAAAATAAACGAGGCCCACGAAGAAAAGGTGACCGAGAAACCAGCCTTTGCAAACTGCCGCAGTAAACCAGAGCAAATCAGCGCCGGGAGGGCACTGGCAAACGTTCAACTGGCAGCTTGCTGGGAAGGGCAGCTCCCCAGCTCGCGCCGCCGGGACAAACAGCACGTCGGCCCCAGGCTAGCCCAGAGGTCAGGCTACGGCCACCTGATCCCATATGGTAATTACCGAGGTTTAATGAGTTATTGCCCATCAGCTGAGCCACAGTGACCGGATCCAGGTCCGTCCTTAGCCCACCCCTGCTGCCACGAAGCAACATCCCAGGTGGGGAACGCTGTAAGCACATGGCCAGCAGAAGACCTACCAACAGATCGTTCTCTCAGGCACTCTCTTGCAAGCTTTTAGGCTGTAAAACCTCTATTTGCCCGTCCCCATGAAGCAGAGAGGAACAAACGGTATCTCCAGGTGCTGTTCCCTCTCCTGCCTGTCAGTGGGCTGGGATGATGATATGGGGCTGCTGGCTGATCCCAACTTCCAGCTGGGGCTGGAAGACGAGTCGGCTTGTGCTCAACTTGCCTTGCTGGGAGGCAGTGGCACATCCCAGCTCAGTTCTGGAGCACAGCACCCTGGGAAACGGGTGCATTTGGTGGGAACGAGCACACAGGTACGTGTCCGGTGGCCCTCAGCCATGGGTTGGGGTCAGGGAGATTGGCCAGCCTTCCCTGGAGTCTTCTGGATTCGGTAAGACCTGCCTGTCTAATGTGAAATGCACGCATAATGCATTAAATAAAGGAGAGAGAGGGGCAGCGAGGTGATTTTCACAGGACACCTGCCCTAAACTGAATTTCTCGGTCTCTTGGCACAGGCACACAGCCGGCGGCAGCAGCGGGAGGTGGCCGGAGGGCAACACAAAGCTAGTGAGATGCCACCAGCCACCAGCACCAGGATGCCGGCATCACTCAGACTCATTTTGCAGCCAAAGCCCATTCCTGCGGGAGCCGCAGCAGGTCAGGAGCCGCATTCGCATGGGGTGCGCGAAGCTTGTGGCCGCACACAAGGCAGCCGTGGTGCTCCAGAGCCACCGCCGTGGCACCTACCTGGGTGTACAGGTTCTGCTGGGGATAGGCACTTCTGATGGGGTACATGGCCGTTTGGTACGGATTCGGAGACGGCGAGTAGGGCGGAGGCGCGTTGTTGCTCTGGGTCGGCGGGACCTTGTACGGAGTCCCCGCGGTGTACCCTGGCAAAGACAAAAGCAGCCCGAATTAGGAGCGCCGTTCACACCCGGAGAGGCACCGGTCCACCCGGTGCATGGGCAATTCCAGTGCGGGGAGAGGCAAGGATACACCTTTCGGTTGGGTTTTGGCAGGTCAATGTCCCCTAGGGCAGCACGTGGACTCGGAGGTGCTGCCAGAGCCCGCGGCAGGTCCTGGCCAGCCCCTTTCCAACAGCAGCACCGAAACACCAGCTGGGGAAGCAGCCGTTTCTCACCGTCCAGAAGGCGGCCGCAACAGGCTGCTGCAACCTAATCGGGGCTGCGCCGGCACAGCAAATGAGTGACCCGGCCACGCAGGAGTGCAGCATCGTGCCCGTCCCCGGAGGCTAAGCTCGGCCGGGCTCACGGCTTGCATTTGGATGCCCATGACATTTTTGCCACCCCCTTCTGCAGCTGCATGCAGGGGGTTGAGGTGTATCCTCCGCAGCAGCGCTTCACAGCGCTATGCTCCACCAGCCCCGAAGCCGCTATGAGCAGGCGTTTGGTGCGAAATGATGCCTACACGTGTCCAAAGCGCTGGCAAGCGTTGCCACATCTCGGTACGCCAATGGTCCAAAGCGCTTAGGTGCTGAAATCACCAAAGACAGCCAAATCCACGCAACTACCTTACGAGCCTGCATACATCCGCTTTGCAAAAATTAGGAAGTTTTCACCCTTCCTGCTCCCCCTCTTTAGCGCCGCGGCGTCGACGGGAGCAATTAAGATGTCCAAAAGTTGCTGCTCTAAGCGCTGGGCTCTGTTAAAGGATCAAGGGTGCTGAGGGTTTTGCTCCACGAGGGGCGTGAGGGTCTGGCCTCATGGTGTTACCACCAGTGCCCATCACCGTGGGAAAACCGCTGCGGGAAAACGCGCAGCGCCGGCGCTTGTTCTGACTCGGGCGGGTCAGCTGGAGCATCCAAGTCCCAGATTTACACTTGATCCAAGATCTGAAGAGGCCCAGAGCACGTCTTTCAGCATGAAATGTCACTGAGTTGATGGGGAATGGACTAAAGCAAGGGATGCCTTCCCAAACAGCCATATTTGTTCCAAACAAATCGCTCAGAGGACAACGTGGCTCCCATGGGCTGAACCGGCAGCCGTTGACTTTGGATCTCGCTGGTTTTGCTACTATTTGCATTTCTGAGCTGTTTGGGGCGTACAAAACTGCATTTCACTTCCAGGAAGACCCGGTGTTACCAGCTTATGATACTTTATTGCAAGTCTCACCATATTTGCCATTTTTAAGAGGCCCGTTCCTGGAGCCACGCAGATCCTCTAAGAATCTCCGCTTTTCTTTTGGTGTCCTTCAAAGGTATCTTTCTACCTGTTGGACTTGTGAGTAAAGACAGGAGAATATGAACTGTCTTAAAAGCTCAGAGACTGCAAAGGTTATTTTAAGAAATATCCTGCATTTACTATTTTTAAAGCTTCAGTGATTTTTCAGGTCGCTCTCACGATTAAGAGGAAGGGAGAAGAAGGAACTCATTTTTTCATTCCGAAGTGGAGGAGACCATGTTGGTGGGGAACATGCCAAATTGCAAAGGGAGCTGCAGCATCTCCCTGGAGGTCTGACCCCAT